TACAATTATAATGTTCGAAGGGCGTTCATTTTGCAAAAAAGAGCAATAAGAACCATTGTCCGTATTCCCCAACAAGAAAGCTGTCAACCCTATTTATTATAGGGAGCTTGGTATCCTCACAGTGCCTGGACTATATACGTACTGGTACTCATGTCAACCTTAAGGAAATACATTTATTGCTTTGAAAGTGCTGAGGAAAGATCATTAAGAGAAAAAACACGTAGGAAGGATTTAGAAAGTAAACTTATCCCAACACTTAACATTGTTGGGCATAGTCCACTGTACCAGGCAGGTAAAATATTTAATAGACTGCCACTTGAATTAAAAAGTATTCTGTACACAAGCTCGTTCAAAACTAGGCTCAAGGCATTCCTGTTGGCGAAATGCCTCTACTCTGTAGATAACTTGTAAACACAGGACTGGATTTTTTAATTTTGAATATTGAATATTACTGTTTTATTATTTTTTTTTTAATTTTGAATTGTTATTTGATGATTGATTTGGTTCTGCGTTGTTTTTGGGTACCTTTTTGTTTTTGTTTTTTCTTTGACATCGTTGATGATAATTCTCTGTTGACATTATAATTACCTACTTTGTATTAATATTGATCTTTTTTTTTGACATTGATAGTAGATTTGATTTTGTGACATGTATTATATTGTATTGTATTGTATTGGGTATACTTATTGAACAGTGTATCAATGTATTAATGTAGTTGTGTCACATAAATGTCGTTATGAGATCAGTATTTTGGCAACTATTTAATTGTAATTCGATTTAAGAAATGTGTTGTTTTTTTCTTTTGTACTACTTGTGTTATTAGTTTTAAGCTTTAATTCACACACAATGTAAATTGTTTTTGAAATAAATAAATAAAAAAATAAATATTAAAAACATGTTTCTGTATGTAATCGTCATCCATTTGATTATGTTTAAACTTATTAACCTCAACTCAAAAGCAAAATGTCGTTCTTAGACAACTTCTAAATCTTTGCATCGCCGATTCTCTATGCGACAATTCGGTGATGCAGATGATGGTCAGCACATGCGGTGATGAATGCTCACTGGAGAGAGCAGCACTCACGCGGAGATTGGGCGAGTGAAGACCTTTTGTAAGCAGTGCGTAGTGGGATATTTCCTTCCAGGCTGATGATGGTGGTACACACCTGCATATATATTTCAATGAAATGTACCTTCTTGTTTCCATCGGCCATAGTGATCATTCAACGCTCTCGTTATGCTAAAAGGATGGGCTGCGTTGGGCTCCGTAATGGCATGCTAATCTATTCTCCGAGGGGATTCATTTAACTTGTCTTTTACGATTAAAGTTAGTAAAAGGGTGTTTGGGTCGATTATTTGATAACGGTTGAAGTAGAGGTGTGGCGGGACACTTCCCTGCCTCGCTGCGTCGCTGCCTCGCTGCCTCGCTGCCTCGCTCTCATACTTACATCCAGTGCTGAGCGAAACCAAAATAAGGGAGCCCCGTCGAGTGTAGATGAAAACAACAGTGTCGCCAGAGCTCCGAGCGAGTGTCACGTGATGACGTGACCCAGCACGGTGACAGCAGCACGGTGACACTGACGCGGTATATTTAGCTGTGTGGAGCGTGTCCCGCGCTCCCGCGCTATAATTACGCGCCTGCGCAGCTGTCACCATATGTTACTATGATAAGAAGCGTGTCATCGTCATCGCAGTGTGAAGCGAACAGTGCGCAGTCGCAGTGACGTCACGTGCTGACCGTGCTACCATGTCGCCGATGGCGCATGTCGACATTCTCGTCACAGGCTGTGGTCCCGGGCGTCACTAGTTCACTACATACAGGTCTACAGGACAGGCCAATTATATAATTGTTGTATCTCCTCATGTTTTTCTAAATATATTGGGATCCACATTTATAGGGAAACGAACAACGCTGGTGACGGCGAACAATAAGCCATGCGCTGTTCAAATGATGAATCTGTCGTGAAATGGTAAGTACATTACAATTTGGTCGACCCATGACCTCGATGATGATCCTCGAGCGTAGTAGTTTTACTTTTATATAACTTTGTTCTCCGTATGTTAGTCAAAACAATATAAGGCCACCCGGTTTCTAGGCGTTTATTAAATAGCATTAATGTGTTTCTGGTATTTAAGAACAGTCTCGTTTAGACTACGTTAGGGATGCGAATCATTGGAACGCGTGCCATTGATGGCACACCCAAAACAATATTTTGGGCACGTCATTGATCACAAAATCTATCCTATGTCGGCATTTTTTTTTTTCAGATTTAAATTCCAGTGATGATTCAGTTACACAAAAGACTTCTGCTTAACGAACTACTAAAAACAATTATTTTGATGGCATATGTGGTACGTTGATACCTTTATTCAAAGTTACTACTACTTGTTGTTTGTGAACGAGTATTGCCTTGCATAAATATCAAACCATCACCTACTTCTTGTGAATAGGGAGTCCATGAGATCAGGTCACTCTAGCTGTTACAGAACCCTTATTCAGATATATACTCTTTAGTCTACTAAGCGAATTCCACTCAGATTGTAACTTCTGGACCCCTGAACAGTCGTATCCATTACCCGTATGGGTGCAATCATCCATTAACCGTTCAGACTGTTTGTCCACACTTGTTCTCACCTGTAGATACTTTACAACTTGACGTTCCTTTCATTGGAGAGAGTCGAGTGCTCCAGTATTCCTGATTCACTTCACATGTTTGTGATTACACCTTAGTCGTGCTGCATGATGAGCTCAGGGTCAGTTTGGGTAAAGAGAAAGTTAAATTGGCACGATGGTCGATCTTCGTTGTTCCTAGAATTGATTGAGACTAGTTTGATCAATAGCACATGTACCAGCAGAATGCAATAATGATGCAGTAATAATTTTATAAGGCTCAGGGTCGGTCCAAAATGCTTCTAATGCGCAGAAAATCTCATATCGTGGTCTGTACAGGTCAATTTTAGGTCTTGTTTTGTAATCTGTTTGTACCATAGTCAGATGCTGAATCTTTCAATAGCAATTCGTTTCAGATAATTCCTCGCGACACACCCACACTCTCCCACATGGAGTAGAGAAACTGCTTTAACTGTGGTATCCCTGTCCGAACCACGTCGAAATCCAACCATAACATTAAGAATTAACACCGAAACCAAACAAAACTCTCCCAAAAAGCATCATTCAACGATAACTCTTACTCACACCATGAACACGAATCATATGTCTTTAGTTTATATTTTTCAAGCACTTTTCTATTTTTGCTTACCTACTTAAATTAAACGCTTAAACTGTTGTTTGAAACATTAAAAACGAATTAAAAAGATGTTGACTATATAATCAAATGCTTTATTTAAGTAATCACCAGCTCTTGAGATATATATATACTAGCTTTTACCCGCGGCTTCGTTCGCGTCACAAAAGGATAAAAAGTAGTCTATGTGACATATACCAATACATACAGCGCCATCTATACCAATACTTTTGTTTTCCCTCGGGAATATCAAATTTTTTCGGGATAAAAAGTACCCTATTATTTAATCCAGACTACTAACTTTACGTCTGCAAAAATTCAATGCAATTGGTTTAGTAGTTACGGCGTGAAGTCGGAACAAACAAACAAACAAACTCACTTTCCCATTTATAATAGTAAGGATATGCGGTGGTGGCCCTTATTTAGTTTCGAGTAGCGTGAGACCTACTGATTAACTGAACCTTCTGAATGAATATCGTCTTGTACGGCTAGAGTAGGATGATGATTTATGACACGCTAAGGCCAGTAGTGACCTACGCGCTAGGCACTTACCTACAGCCTTAGGGATGATACGGCTCTGCACCCACTGATAGGTTAGAAGTTGGTGCCATAATTAAGTATAAACAGCTTTACTTATAAGATATCTTTTATAAGGTTTAAATAAATCATTTGGTTTGCAACTTGTGACACCGACTTCTTACACCACAGTGTTCTGATAGGTTTAGAGTACCTGAAGTAGTAGCTACATTATGACTATGACTAAGTTATTTAATGTTTTTTTTGGGTACTTGCCAACTAGTTAAATTCAATACCTTTTTCGACCTGTCAAAAACGACAATTTTCTATTATTTTCGATCGAGATTTTGTATTGTGACTCACGTGTTTTAGCGTAAAACAGCAAACTTATTAATTACATAAAAATTTACTGGAAAAATACTAAAATTAAGTTGGTCATAAAATCAATTAATGTTAATGTGTGTATTTTTTAAGATTTCATTGTATTGAACAGTCGAAATAATTTATGTTTGATAAAGGAAAGTACCCAATTGAAATAAAGGAATTCTGCCTAAAGTGACGCACGAAGTTGGAGGCAGGAGCTAGTTGTTTGATGAATTTTAAGTTGTTTACTACTTCTTCGTTGACGTAGTCTCAAATAACAATTGAAAGAAACAACTCTCAATCCAACATCTGTGAATTATGATCGATTTTTGACGTTAGTTATATTGGGCTTCTGGCAATTATGAGATAAGTTATTGAAATTGGCAGATAGTAAAGCAATCCCGTTAATTTCGCGAGATCCAGATTGCATCCCTACATGGGACAGCCAACGGGCAAACGGATCACCTGATGGAAAGCAATCGACGCCACCCATGCACACCCGGAACACCAGAGGAGTTACAAGCGCATCGCAGCGGCCTTTTGGGGGTTAAGGATAGGAATATTGGGGGTATGGGGGGGAGGTATTGGGCCTCCGGTAGTCTCACTCACATGGCAAAACACAACGTAACACTCAAGCGTTGTTTGACGTCGGTTTTCTTCTCAGCCGTGGCGTCACTCCGGTCGAGCCGGCCCATTCGTACGGAAGTATGGCTCTCCCACACTTTGATAACTAACTTTAAGCAAAACGACAATGGGATCGTATTATAATGACAAAATAACAATAATAGACTGACAGTCCCTGTTCTGCATTCATTGCAATAAGAAAACTACGAGGCTCACTGTGCATGGACCTGGCAACCGACACTACGAGGGTACCTGTCAGTCTGCAGCGCCGGCCGCCTGCCGACGTGTCCTTGATGCTGCTGCTGCCAGATAAAACTTTTCCCGCGCAACTTCAAAACTTTCTTTTGAAGTCGAACTTTTGTCACTGAACAGATCCCAAAGATAACACTACACTATCATAGGCACTTCACTAGGGTGTCGCGTATCGTAGCAGCATTATGAAGGAGCCAGGCCGGTGTCAGCACCGGGATGCGACGCGGCGACACGACGTCCCGGCACTAGCGGGAGAGCGGTAGAAGCGTCGCGGCGTTACGAGCCACAGTGTGATGCTGACCGCGGAGAGCGCCCGCGAGTCGCGCCCCGCGCCCCGCGCCCCGGCCCCGCGCCCGGCGCCCCGTACCCGCGCCCTCCAGCACGGCAGGCTAGCAAGTAGAAGCAGTTGAAGTCGAAGCTCAGGGGATGGAGAATCTTACTACGCCCATACAACGACGTCGTCGTATCACAAATACAACTATACTACCTCACATATAAAATCATGACAAACATACAAGTAGGTCGGAATGTTACAATTACTTATTTTCATCTAATCGTTGCTGACATAGACGATAATCATACGACGTGTACACGGTCATCAGATTCCTACCCAGCGCACAGTCTGCACCAGAGCAGTGCTGCAGTCAGCAGACCTGCGGTACTCGGTACCAACTAGCCCCCACTACATGCCATTTACACATTACGCATCCATTTAAACACAACTCTTTATGAGCAACAGTGGAAGCTGTGCCGTTGTTAGTCACTCAGTCACATGGTAACGGAAAAGTTTTATAAAATAATATGGTTTCGTTTGCTCCAGCCGCCATTGTTACATTACTTTCACGTGCTGTGGAAATTATTTTTTCCCCTAAATGTTCATAAAGATATAGTTGGCGGTGCCATGGCATGACAATGATTGAACTACATGCATTGTAGAAAGATGTGGCTAGTTTCGTAGTTACGTTTTTAAATTTTCCCAAGTTGGCGGTGCGGGCGGCGCGCTAAGGAGCAAAATGGATATTGGGAAGAGCTCGTCAAAATCTATAAAATGTCGATATTCATAACTCCCGGAAAGCATTCCAAGTAGAACTACCAAATTACTGAACTAAAAGTCAATTAAACCTAAGTAACTACATTTTTCTTTGATACAAATAGTTCCAACAACTTCTTGCAAGCTTCCAAAGTTTAATTCTTCATCACATGTCTAAAATTTTTCAACTGCTAAATAAATATCAACATACACGCCTGTCGCCCATAGGACGGGGGTAGGCAGAGCTACGGAACGTTACTTTACTATTTCGCTTCATCAACAGTCATCAGTCTTTTCATGGATGCCCGTCGGAGTAATTAATTAATAAAAAATAAACTAAAATCCATCTTGATCTTAGTTTTATTTGAAAGTTCGTTGGTTGTAGTACCGTCGCTACCAGTACCAGTCTGTATGCTACATGTCATGGCATTGTGATGATTCTGATGGGATTTACACTTCAATGTAGATTGTTGTTAAGACGAGCGAGTTTTTGTTGAGTTGAAAACAAAGTATTCGATGTCCTGATGTCTCGTAATCGTAAAGAATGATGTTTTTCTTTGTGGAAATATTAAATTTATTATTGTATCTAGAGTTTCAACACCAAAATGGACTAAGGTGCATCCAGTGGGTGGATTTTGTTTGCAAATGGAGAAATGAAGAATTGCGGCAACCGAGTATAATACGCTCCGCTCATTTCATTCTCCATTTGTTCTTTCAATGTATTGTTACTTTTACTAGCTTCTGCCAGCGGATTCGCCCGCACTCCCAGGAGTATGTGTTATCCAGACCAACACACAAACTCACATATTTTCACATCTATAATACCGAATTAACTAAAAACCGTGGGTTACTCGCGTGACAGTACTAGTGGAACTTCTTTCAACACTTTCACGTGAGTAACCCGCGGTTTTTAGTTAATTGAGTATGTCTCACGATAGACTTTATAATATCGGCCCAAGCTACTTTCAACCATCGGCCCTACGGTTACAGCGTAAAGTCCACTGCGGGCAACCTAACATCTGACAAACTTATATTCGAGTTTGGTACAATAACTACAGTTTCGTCGTAATTGGATCGGTAGTTTTTGCGTGATGCGGAACATATAGACAAACAGACAGACTGACTGACTGACAAATATTTTTTTACTCACATTTTTTACATCCTCTACTATTTATTTTTTTAATATTTTCAATGTACTGTCAAGAAATACCGGGAAAAGATCAATATTACACAAAATGTCTGTTATTCATCCAAATTTATTTTATCACCTTCAAAGTATGCTCCTTTAGAAACGATACACTTACACCAACGAATAATCCATTCATGAAAACATTTTTAAAACGCTGCTTCCGGAATTGAGTTCAGTTCTCGCCGCAAATTCTCCTTATGTCTTCTATCGATTGAAAACGGGTGCCACGAAGTGGTAATTTAAGTTTAGGAAAAAGAAAAAAGTCAGCAGGAGCCATATCTGGTGAATATGGTGGTTAGTGGATGGTATTTGTTGAGTGTGTCAAAAATTCGTTCACAATGACAGCCTTGTGCGAAGGCGCATTGTCGTGGTGCAAAATCCAAGAATTTTCTTTCCACAAATCTGGCCTTTTTCGTCGAATTTGCTCACTTAAACGCCGCATAATGCTTAAATTAGATTTTCAGTCACTATTCCCTTCACTTTTGCGATGTAAACTTCAGTTACAGATGTTGACGGCCTACCAGAGCGAGTCAAATCTTCCATCACATCTCGACCGCTTTTGAACGCTCGAACCACTCATAAGCACGACTTTTTGATAAAGTCGATTCACCGTGAGCCTTCTGTAACATTTTCAGTGACTCCGAACACGAAATTCCATTGGCGATGCAAAATTTAAGACAAACTCTTTGTTCGATATTTTTGTCCATTATGAAATTCGCAACACACACTGTATATGATGTTACTAAAACCACCACTGTGTTTAATATAAATAACCGATGCAACTCCATCTCCGCGCTAAAATGGAAAACAGTTGTGCCAATCTAACAACTACAAAAAATAACAAATATTTGAATTTGGAACCATAAACAAATCATCCATTCCCGATACATTTTTGACTGAATGTATACAATTTACACTTGTACAGTTTTATTATACGTCTGTATAGATTTGGACATATAGTTGTTGCTACATATTTAAAATTAACTTAAAATTAGGAATTAATGCATGTATTACTAATGCAGTACATTTGAAGGACATCAAACATGCGTTGAGTCGAGAACACTCACCAATTAGTGCTTGATTGTACTCCACATTACCATGCAACATGGTGTTAAACATGACCAGTTCTTTAGTGAGATGTGATCCACAACATTTGTTCCTCTAGCAACAATATTCCCTTCGAATGCTGCGAGTGAATCATGAGTAGACAAACGATGTAGTTCAACAACATGATGGTGTCAAGTCGCGTGCAAACTGTTACCTAGTGATACGAGGTTATTAGGTCTTTACGTACACTAGAATAAACTTAAGTAAGCCCAAATAAATAGTTCGAAACGAAGTTTCGTTGAAAAATATTTTTTTGTGTGGAATTTGAGAAAATATATTTAAGGAGTACGAGTATACAACTTTAGAATCATTATTAAATGCGCCAACTTCAGTGAAATTCGCCTCTAGTAGTACAGAACTATTTCTTCAGTACAGTCACAACGTAAGGTGAAAAGTTTATTGTGAATACTTGGTTTATCAAAAAATGATATTCAATTCCAAACTGACTGTGGTAGTCAGACGAAAGCATAAAGAATAATAGCAACAAGAGTCAAAACTCTGGCACCGGGTGTACTTTCTCGTGGATAGCACATAAGTCATTGTAATTTAAAACTACATGACTTGCAATTTTTTCAAATTTTCCTACTAAGTGTTGGAACCTGGTCGATCACGTGATGCCTTTTGATCGTCGACTTCAGGGACACCCTGTATGTATATACAGATAGATTACATGAACTCATAAATTATTTATTTATTTTTATTTATAAGTGAGTCACATTTTTAGACGTAAGTCATCAAATCACGTCCGGATTATTTATTCTGCTTTGGTTGTAGTCATATTGTAGAGGGCGTTAGTGTGCCGTTTTTGAGAACCGAATGTTGTTGTTAATTAAAAGGTAACGTACGTACACCTCGCACGTACATATATCATCATCGGATGTGTGTTTGTGTGTTACTACTTCACGTCAAAATGGCTAAAGGGATCAAAATGAGATTTGGATCAGGTAGATTAGAGGTATATTATACGAAATAACACAAGGGTCACGTTTTATTCCATGTAAACCGGGCAGAGCCGCTGGTAGCAGTGAACATAAACACTCACTGTTTGCGATGGATCACGTATGTCACGACCCGATACAGAGTGTCACCCAAGCAATCGCTTGGTTCGATTCGGGAAACATAAGGGTTTCTATATGTTTGTGGGTTCCTATCTCCTTTATTCTTAAAGTTGTAAAGGTATATTGCGAAAATCTATTACAATGTGTATAACTATAATATTACAACTTAAAATTAACTTCAACTAAACTATTAAATAAAACGAAAGTAAAAAAAAGCAACAAAAATTATACCCTCAATTTAGGCGTCAAAGTGTTCGTCCGCATCACTATCACAGGGGAACGTACCCAGGAGACTGGCAGCATTGCCACGTCGAATGGCAATGCTTATTTTCTGTCCGAAGAAATAGCCAGCCCTCTGGTCACGTGTAGAGTCGATTAGCCAACGGGCGATATCTTTAAAAACAGAGTGTGCACTGGGACCCCATGGCCCAAGTGTTTCGACCCCAAACAGCTCAAAATAGCAGTTACCCACTAGATTTGAATATTTACCCCGTTTGAGGACCTCTGCCGCGGTAGCAGCTGCACCAAAGCATGCAGCGGTACTTAGAAGATGTGATGGCGCAAGGGTGTCTACACACGTCGCGTCCCACACCAAAGGCCTACCCATTTTCCAAAGCAGCAACGACATACCATCTAGTCTTTTGCCGTCATCACGTACCAAACCGAAGCATGGCTCTCCCACACTTCTCTATAAAGATCATACTTAATTATCTATGTATTATCTATACTTAATCTATAATATCTATATCTAGTCGTAATTGGGTAGTTTCCTGGGTCAAAAAAACTCACGACCTCAGAAACGGCTCCATTGATTTTCTTGAAATTTTGAATTTGGGGGTTTCAGGGTCGATAAATCGATCTAGCTAGGTAACGTTTTCAGAAAATTTCGTTTT